CATTTATGGATGACAGCTGCGCGATGCGCAAATGCGGCAGCTGGAATGTTCACTGGCGGTCAAGTGAAGTGACCGCAGTGTATTATATACACCTGCATATGGATGAGTGCTTCGATTGGAGGATGAATGTTTCACTTTTCGTACAATCGAACCCGGCATGTTTCACAGCGAATGAACGGTGTAGTGATAGCAAGTAAAAGAGTGCACGACACGATTTCGTAGTTGAAGCCGTGGCCAGTGGAACGTTTAGTGGTGTTTGGACCGCATGATGAACAATGCGACCCAAATGGGGGATGTTAAAACCCTCTAGGCCCCGTGCCGAAATTGGGTAGCTGTTCTGAGGTCCTTGTTGGTGTTGCTTCCCAAGTTCCATTGATCGCCATTTGGCTCATGGCTCAAGACACAATTGAGGTTCAAGATCTGATGTGTGACTGCGGATATCCGTGATTGGCATTAGGAGGAAAACAACTGCTCGCGCCGCACTGTCAGGACTACTGTTGTGACTATCATTCCTTCTTCCTTACAACGTTTACACGGGTTCGGCTATAACGGCATCGTCCGTATACACCTTTCTACGTGGTTGGTATTGAAGCTTGAGGGTTCGGTGCACAGCGTCCCACGGGACGTCACCTTGCCGTCTCTTGACAATTGGCATGCTCCTGCAAAAGACCAAATGCATTGCAGTTGCAGCGGCCATTGATGCAAGAGGCCTCGTATCACCATGGCTTGCCACCTATCCCACTGAGGCTCAACGTCTTCATTGTCGCGACCTCAGAGGACTTTGCTTCAGGCCTGGGGGGAAACAAAGTACTGTTCTCACCAACGCACCTCTGCAAAGCGGGGGGTGTTGATAGGTAATGGCGTACCGACATGATATTGGCTCAAGAAAAATTGACTGCCGCCCGTGCTGACATTTAGGTAGATCCCACCTTTCAACAGAATTCGTTTCCTAACCAGGATTGGAACTGCTCGAAATCGCTCGAATTTGTTTCCTAACCAGGTTTGGAATTGCTAAATCGTTTCCTAACCAGGATTGGAATTGCTCGAAATCGTTTCCTAACCAGGATTGGAGTTGCTCGAAATCGTTTCCTAACCAGGATTGGAATTGCTCGAAATCGTTTCCTAACCAGGGTTAGAGTTGCTCGAAATCGTTTCCTAACCAGGATTGGAATTGCTCGAAATCGTTTCCTAACCAGGATTGGAATTGCTCGAATTCGTTTCCTTACCAGGATTGGACTTGCTCGAAATCGTTTCCTAACCAGGATTGGACTTGCTCGAAATCGTTTCCTAACAGGATTGGAATTGCTCAAAATCGTTTCCTAACCAGGGTTGGATTTGCTCGAATTTGTTTCCTAACCAGGATTGGACTTGCTCGAATTTGTTTCCAAACCAGGATTGGACTTGCTCGAATTCGTTTCCGAACCAGGATTGGAATTGCTCGAAATCGTTTCCTAACCAGGGTTTGAGTTGCTCGAAATCGTTTCCTAACCAGGATTGGATTTGCTCGAATTCGTTTCCTAACCAGGATTGGAACTGCTCGAAATCGTTTCCTAACCAGGCATTGGACTTGCTCAAAATCGTTTCCTAACCAGGATTGGAACTGCTCGAATTCGTTTCCCAACCAGTATTGGACTTGCTCGAAATGGTTTCCTAACCAGGATTGGAATTGCTCGAATTCGTTTCCTAACCAGGATTGGACTTGCTCGAAATCGTTTCCCAACCACAGGATCGGATTTGCTCGAATTCGTTTCCTAACCAGGATTGGACTGTCTCGAAATCGCTTCCTAACCAGGCATTGGACTTACTCAAATTCGTTTCCTAACCAGGATTGGAACTGCTCGAAATCGTTTCCTAACCAGGCATTGGACTTGCTCAAAATCGTTTCCTAACCAGGATTGGAACTGCTCGAATTCGTTTCCTAACCAGGATTGGAATTGCTCGAATTTGTTTCCTAACCGGGATTGGACTTGCTCGAAATCGTTTCCTAACCAGGATTGGATTTGCTCGAATTCGTTTCCTAACCAGGCATTGGACTTGCTCGAATTCGTTCCCTAACCAGGATTGGAATTGCTCGAAATCGTTTCCTATCCAGGATTGGAATTGCTCGAAGTCGTTTCCTAACCAGGATTGGACTTGCTCGAAATCGTTTCCTAACCAGGATTGGATTTGCTCGAGTTCGTTTCCTAACCAGGATTGGACTTGCTGGAAATCGTTTCCTAACCAGGATTGGAATTGCTCGCATCCTAACCACAATTATAATTGCTCGAAATCGTTGCCTGACCAGAATTGGAGTTGCTCGAAATCGTTTCCTAACCAGGATTGGAATTGCTCGAATTCGTTCCTAACCAGGATTGGACCAATTGCAGACAGCACACTCGATCAGCGTGTTGCAAGGCAGCGGAATTGCTGACTTTCCTGCAGAAACTTAGGGAACAAATGAACATTGAGAAGAATACAGTGATGAGATTTTACGCGCCGCAACATGTTCGGGAACGGTTTCTTGACATATTGAACTGTTGGCAATTTGTGGCAACACCCACAATCGAAACGGCATTTCCCTTCAATCCAGTTGCAACAAGTGTCGGGCTGGAGCCAACTAAATGGTTTCATGCGTGCTGCATGTGTCCACGTTCGTTTTGAACCTGCATCTTCAGGTTCGCGCCGTGTTTTCTGACTTGAGCATGCTGCTTGTCTACCATATCGAATTTGTCGGATTTTATTGGTGTGTCATGTCCAGAATCCCGACCTTTCGGCTTTGCCAGTGTGGAGCAAACCTTGGGCCTAGGGGGCAATATTAAAGCATTCGGGTGAATCGGTTCAGCAAAGTCGATGCCTGGATTGTCTGCCTGATTCAGCTCAGGATGCCCGGATCCCAGCCCAATGCCTGGAGTTGTTGGACTCCATGTCTTTTCAACTTTTGAATTGTGTGGTGGGAGTGATATCGAGCATAGTGACTGAATGATTTCTCGTGTTGGCTGTAGCGGGGCAACATCAGTCTCAGGATTGAACTCGAAACTCGCCACAGTGGCAGTTGGATGGGACACTCGCCACGTCAAACTGCTCAGGCCAGCAGCTGTGGCATGGCCCTCAAAGCTTTCACCGTGAACGGGCCAAACCGCTTGGGAGTGAAAGAACTAGTTATGACCCTGGACCTCGCCAGGCACAACAAGACCTCGGGTTGCGAAGCAAGGGCTCCTTTTTACAAGGGGGCTTTCCTTCGTCGCGCGAGTCTGTTTTTCCTTATGCAACTGGCTGGTTGCCATATCGGTTGTCACCGTTGTAGCACTTGCTCTCTTTCCTTCTTCCTCACGTTTCTTTAGTTATTGACTGTTGTTGCGCAAACATGTGCAATCAACAATGAGTCACTAGCATCTAAACCTGCTCGCAGCTGCAGGTGTTGCTGTCATGATCCTTGCAGTAAGGCATAGTATTATTTTCCCTTCGGCAATTCCATGTTGCAAAGCTTTCTCGAGGCATGGTTCGAGTGTCTTAACGCTCCTTGTGCCCAGGTATGCTTCAAAGCTGCTCTGATTTGGCTGCTTCGGATGCTCCATTGCCAATGCCCTCCCCCACTCCAATAGTAAGAAACAGATCCTGGAAATAAACGTTCGTAGTGTCCTCTTCGCTCACCTTTGGTCCTCTGTACATTGGAAGCAGAATCGCACGCGCAGACGGAACCGCTAATTTTGTATTGAGAATATCACAAAATGAGCATCTCTTTTTTATTGCTCTGCTGCTTGGTCCTGCCTCCAGGTTGTGATCCATGACGGGGAGCACTTTGTGTGCGTGTGAGCTGGGGCGATTCATGCATGAGCCGAAAGCTTGTGCCTTGTTGCCATGGCTTGTACCTGCCGGGCATTGTGTTAATTGCCAAAGCTTGACGTGCGCCAAGACCAGCTTGGACCAGCAACTGGGACCAAGCGAACAACCGACCGCGCCCTTGAATAACATACCGAGCCCGGCGGATTTCTGAAAGATCACGTGTGGCTGCGTGTTCCGAACAGCTGTTGGTGCAATTGTTTTACTGCGTTACTGTACTTGGCTGCAATGGCTAATTGCTGTACAGCTGTGGGTTAAACTCTACAACGTGGACCTGCAATTTACCTTGATATATTGCCTGGATGCCTGATGAGAACAACCTGTCAAAATGAAAGCACCATTAGGCCAATGCATTTTCATTTGCAGTAGACTAGGCTGTATAAATGTGTCTTGAGGATGCGGTGTTGCAGTATACCCGCGTTTGTACACGCAAACGGTGTTAAACACAGAACGATCGAGGGGACATCACCTTGCTCAGGTGCATAAATTTGAAAACGTGCCTGTGGAGCACAAGCACAAAGTCGGGAACCCAGGCTTGCAGTCTGAGTCTTGCCTCACGTGAGTGGGTGCACGATCAAAGGAATTGTCTATAGTCGAAGAAAGTGTTTGAACATGATGAGCGAGAACCTTTTAAGCGAAGACATGTGTCACGGCACCAATTTTGTGACAACGCTTGGGCGGGCAAGACCTCTGAGGCCATTACCTTTTGTGCTCTCTTGCACGGGGTTGTAGCTTGACTGGGGAAGAAGGGTCCATGTGGAGCAAGGTGAACACAGGCCGCCTCCTGAACCTTCTGCTGGCAATTGGTGTGCTTTTGTGCCTCGGCAGATACGATGGGTGTTGGGAACTGGCCAGAACGAAGCGACAGACAGCAGGCCTGACACGAGTGGTGGCGTTTTGCGCCAGGGGTCATAGGGGTCTGTTGACAGGGGACCAACGTTCGCATTGTCTATGATGGCTTGCAAGTTGCCTTTCAGAGCTTGTGCACTATCACATGTCAGGTAGAACAATGCAATCACCGATTGTAGCCTTTTGGAACCTGCACTTCAGAGGCAGTGAAGCCGCGAGGACAACTAAATCGGGCAAGCAGGAAAAGTAGTTTTGCATTTGTTGTCATATTCGAATATTTGAGTAGCGTCCAGACCGTTCTCGCGGCCTATTTAGACCGTCATGTCTTTTTTGCGCCCTTGAAGAAGTTTCAAGATCGAAACAGTGCTTCAACATCAGCTGTGTTGTAAATGCTCAGATCACTGTCCATGAAGAGGGATGCAAAGCAAAAAGAAACCAGCCGCGCTGGTTTCAGAGCTGGAGTCAATGAGTCTGCGTTCAACGCAGAACCTGAGGCCCACTCCAGTGGCCATGTCTCTTTTGCTGTACAAGCAGAAGGCCAGGCTTTGAGAGGGTGCGGGAGTGAGAGCTAAGAGAGCAAGCATCATTCCGACTCGTTCCCACTTGCCTCATGGGTTGAAAGGCAAGTTGTGCCAGTTCAATGCGCTGATGCTCTGGAACTGTTTTCTTGGAAATGGGCATGTGGAGAATCGTTGACACTTGAGGTGATTAAGCTTCCTGTGGGAGCTGATCTTTTGGTGAGCTTCTCAGGCGTCTCTTGAGACGCCACATGTTTTTTTTTGTTTTTTGTTTTGCGGCCGCTTGCATTGATCAGGATGGGTTTCGGTTTAGAGTTGCGACCTGTTGGAGATCCTTGTGCTCCGAGCAAGCACGGTCATACTTGAGGACCTCAATATCTCCGCGTCCGGCTGCGACGTGTCGTTGGTGCCCCACAGCCACTTGCAGGCATGGTTTGGGTTCAAGGCTGACGGCGCGTTCGCGAGGTGGAGCTTCGTCTCAGAATGGTTTCTACAGACATGATGATTGTTGCTGCCATTCGTCCTATCCACGGTCATGCGAACCTCATTGGGCCTTGCCTGTATATTTTGATCTGGTTTAGAGGTTTGCAAAATTCCGGGTTTGAGTTATTCGTTCGGTTTGACCCATGGAGCGCTATGGTTCCGCCCTTCAGACATTGGCAGATCGCAGGCAAGGCTTAGCTACTGGCGCTTCTTCGGCTCTGACTCTATGGAGGCCGCCTGTACCAGTCGGAGCTTTCCACGGGAGTCTTACCAATACCTTGCCGGTCGATTAGCACCACGCATTTGGAGTCATTCGCGGAGTGCACAGCTCTGCTTATCATCTATCTTCCAGATTAGGCAGCTAGGCAGCTAGGCAGCTAGGCTGGTTTCCAAGAGAGAATTTGGCGCTTCAAGGTTTTGGTGGCGAACTGGGGACGGAGCCCGAACGAAACACCTTGGGCCTGGTGCCTCTTTTGGCAGCAATCGCCCTTTTCGCTTGGCTTGTCGCAAGGTGGTGAACAACACCCTATTGGTGGAAGCCAGCTACACCCGTGGGCGGCTGAACAAACAGCTGCCTTGCTGTCGCAACGCCCCTAAAATGTGTCAGCCAAGGTAAAATCCTGATGATGCGATGCGTGTGGGGGGCTTGAACCGAGCAGCTCTGAGCACCTGTTGCCTGAGTTTCTCCCCAGGATCACGGTCTTCCTGCCTGAAGGCACGCGCTCCAGAAGACCGCAACTAGCTCAGGTGTCAACCTGACAGCAAACACTCGTTTGTGCATCTGATCCTAGTTGTTGCAACGTCTGTGTTTTGCTGGGGGTTTGCATGGTTTTTCCAGTTGCAATGGGGACAGGTGGAGAATTCATTCTTGCAAAGAGCTGCTTCCGCCAGGCCTTACCCACTTCAAGTCGGCGAGCATTACAATCAGGCGCATCTTGGGCCTCTTGGGATGCCGATGAATTGAGCTAGGATTTGGTTTGACGGTGTTGATTCCGGGAATCACCATCCACTCAATGTTGACTGTTTTGTTGCTCTTGTTTTGTTGCTGTCTACAACAGA